GACCCCAAACATCTGTATCAGGGCCCAACAAGTTCTATAAGGAAGAATGGGGCCCCAAATAATTTTCAAGGCAAGAATAAGGGCCCTAAATACCCATATACTTACTGTTAAACCTGTAGACGAAGTTGTGCCAAGCTTTTCCGACCGTGTTTTTGTAGCAACCAGCAGGATTGGATCCATACTGCTTGTAAGATAGGTTCCCTTTGTCTCCTCCCCAGCATTCTCCATAATACTGGATTCCAAAATACTCTTTGCCTGTTGAAATTAAGAGTATTTTCTTCCTTTCTTCAGTCTTACTCTCTTCCGGAAATACTCTGAATTGGTTCGGTTTTGTGATAGGATTGGAGGACTCGCGTCACCCCATATCAATCAATCAGATGAAAAAATAAAACCAATCAGGTGACTTGAGCTAGCGCGTTTTCCCGCAGCATAAACTAGATGCTGCCAACTTCTAAGGTGTTACCAGGAGTAGTAGTAGTTGCCAAAAATATGTCTTTCTTTGAGGGGAGGGGGGGGCGCAAAGGGAACAGAGGGGGGATCAATCGTCGCCTGCAGGATATAGAGGGGGCCTATAATTGATTGTCAATTAACAGTCAATGAGGAATGGTGGGAGGGGGGGGGCATGGGGGAATCAGATAAATATCATCGTGACACTACCAAAATCCTCTGACACCCCCTTCCTTCCAAGCTAAAAAAATGATCAGTTTTAATATTTTGCTGTAGAATCGAACCAAGTAGTCTCAATTGCATTTTTGTGCACTTTGTATCAGTGACAGTATGAAATATTCCCACTCACGCTTGTTCATGGCTTCATCTGCACATTTCTGTACTGTCTTTGACAAGTCTGACCAGTCAATAGTCCCGCGGAAGTTCTTCAGCAGTTCGGGCATAGCTCGTGGGTGAAATCTGTCTCTAAAACATCCAACTGGGCTGAACGTAATCCCTAAGGAAAAAACTTAAATGTTAAAGCAATGTGATTGGCTCATAATAAAATAAATGATTGTAAGGAACAATAACAAAGAGGTAAACGAATGACTGAATAACTGAGTGACTGTATGACTGAATGATGGAATAACTGAGTGACTGTATGACTGAATGATGGAATAACTGAGTGACTGTATGACTGAATGATGGAATAACTGAGTGACTGTATGACTGAATGATGGAATAACTGAGTGACTGTATGACTGAATGATGGAATAACTGAGTGACTGTATGACTGAATGATGGAATAACTGAGTGACTGTATGACTGAATGATGGAATAACTGAGTGACTGTATGACTGAATGATGGAATAACTGAGTGACTGTATGACTGAATGATGTAATAGCTGAGTGACTGTATGACTGAATGATGGAATAATTGAGTGACTGTATGACTGAATGATGGAATAACTGAGTGACTGTATGACTGAATGATGGAATAACTGAATCAGTGAAATGGGGGAACAAATCAGTAAATATATGAATGAGCAAATGAGAGAATGAATCAGCTTATGAAGGAGTTAGTGAAGAGGAGAAATGAATGAATCAGTGTCTGAGAGAAAGAAAGAAAGAAAGAAAGAAAGAAGAAAAGAGGAGTGAAGAAAAAAAGAATGAACGAATAAATAAATAAATGGGTGAAAAAATGAATAATTGAAAAAATGAGTCAATGATTGAAAGAAGAAATGAATGAATGAATAAATGAATCATGAGTAGCCAACTAACTAGAAAGATGAATGTTACAATGTGTGATGAATGCTCCGTCACTCACCTTCAGGGAGAGGTTCTGGTTCTAAAAGGCAAAAAAGGCATTCTTTAACATGTGATCACCTAACACACTTTGCTCCTTCTTTAAACATGTCTTTAGNGCAACGGGAACGGGAACGTCACTAAACAAAAGGTTTACTGTATGACTGAATGATGGAATAACTGAGTGACTGTATGACTGAATGACTGAATAACTGAGTGACTGTAGGACTGACTGATGGAATAACTGAGTGACTGTATGACTGAATAACTGAGTGACTGTATGACTAAATGATTGTTAACTGAGTGACTGTATGACTGAATGATGGAATAACTGAGTGACTGTATGACTGAATGATGTAATAGCTGAGTGACTGTATGACTGAATGATGGAATAATTGAGTGACTGTATGACTGAATGATGGAATAACTGAATCAGTGAAATGGGGGAACAAATCAGTAAATATATGAATGAGCAAATGAGAGAATGAATCAGCTTATGAAGGAGTTAGTGAAGAGGAGAAATGAATGAATCAGTGTCTGAGAGAAAGAAAGAAAGAAAGAAAGAAAGAAGAAAAGAGGAGTGAAGAAAAAAAGAATGAACGAATAAATAAATAAATGGGTGAAAAAATGAATAATTGAAAAAATGAGTCAATGATTGAAAGAAGAAATGAATGAATGAATAAATGAATCATGAGTAGCCAACTAACTAGAAAGATGAATGTTACAATGTGTGATGAATGCTCCGTCACTCACCTTCAGGGAGAGGTTCTGGTTCTAAAAGGCAAAAAAGGCATTCTTTAACATGTGATCACCTAACACACTTTGCTCCTTCTTTAAACATGTCTTTAGCCAGAGTGGTAGAGACAAGTTCGGCTGGCCCTTTTATAGGAAAAAAAAACAAACAGACAAACGGATATCAAGCAAGAAGCAAACATGCCGTCGGAAGTTTGACAAGAGAAATCGCTTGAAAGAAAGCAAGGCTCCAACTTATCTGGACACAATATGAAACGTATCACAATACAGAAAGGGATGGTTAAAGCTCGTGGCTGAGGTGCAAGTTGGAAAGGGCGCTCCTCGATTGAGGTTTGAGTGTCGTGAAATCAAAAACAAAGTAATCACAACGACCAATCATAGGAAAGGAAATATCTTGAACAGCCAATGAGAACTCATAGGAAAAACAAGAAAACCGGCCAAAGCGCGTGAAAACGCGGGCAACTATGTCGTGATTGGTTTTTGTTTTGCATCTGATTGGTTAATAAAGTGGTACGAGTTTTCTGGACCAATCACAGGGCGAAGTGAAGGAAAACCAAAGCAATCCTGAATTATTTAATTTTCTGCACTCAATGTAAAATTGCTCAAATGACTCAAAACAAGAGATTTACGAAATTAGCCTCAACGAGGAGCTTTTGAAAGCTTTCCGAGATATCTCTCTGGACGCATTTAGCGATTGACATTTTCAAAAACTAACATCATAATCGTGTTTATTGAATAAAAGGAATCGGTGAACGATGCAACCACTAGAAAAGTGAAAGGAGGTAGGTCACGAGCTAGTAAGGCATCTTAAATAACTTGGCTTAAATATTTCATGTTCAAAGAAAGTAAGAGAGGTGATGAGTGTGAAAAGAAGACTGAGTAAAACACAGAAACGAGATATTTGAAATTACTTTATGGAAAGACGGTAGCTGGGATAAAGATGGGAAACATAAAGTAAACTTGTATATTTTCGAAAATGGAAGAAATTAAATTGGAAAGAAAGAGCGAAAGATGGAGAATGACTAGATCTAAGGTGTATCTGCTAGATCAAGAGAAACTTGAAAGCCGGAGTTCACACATGGCCCAAAGCGGCTCTGATATAGTTTAACTCGTAATATTGTATATGAAATAGTTTTACCATCTCTACCAAAAAGGAACGCTTGACAGGATATCAAAGACGCCAGGAAAACGAAAAGGAAAGTCTTCATCTTTTCGTATCTTCTATGGTTGCCCTCCCAAACTAAAGCAGTGTTTTTGGTGCGAGATACTCTGAGCAATTCTTTTATATGCGTTTTCCAGCGTGGGAAAACTGCATTAGAGAAATAATAGTTTATCTCGATACTGCAAATATTTTTTCGGAAATAGACGGGACTTTTGCATCTTGAATAAATATGTGAAAGACTGAACGTACTCTGAAGGTTTTTTTTTTCCGGGGTCAAGGTGCCCATTAGGGAGAACCATCTGCATGTGTCCCAGTTATCGTGAAATCTCACGGTTAGAATGTGCGCTGTGATTGGTCAATTTTTACCATGCTGAATTCAAAAGTTTGTTTGAGTTGAAATCTTTCCGCTCTATTTGAACCCAGAGATATGAGAAATATCTTACCTTGTTTTTTTCGGTACGTATTATGGATAAAGGAACCTCGTTCTTTCCGCTCACTTCTCATTTGAGCTAAAACGTCGAGCGGAAAAAACTAGGTCCGTAATAAAACTTACAGTACGGACTAAGGAAATTAGGTAAGTATGAGGTATTTGTAAAATATCTTTAGAGAAGAAAAAGAAAGAGAGAATTTTACATTTGTTACTTAGTTGGAAGCCATGAAATAGCAAAATGTCTGTTTGATAATGTGTAAAAAAAAAAACAAGAGCTTTTTACTTTGTCAAAATCGAAATTAACTCACTTATCAGCTCTGTTTCTATTATATGTACAGATAGCGCATACTTTTTTATTTTCAATTACACGTTCTGACACAACAGGAAGAAAAAAAAATTAAGAAAGCTATTAACGTATGACAAGGTAATATCTTGCATTCACGACAGATGTTTTTATCTCACGGTCTGTTGAAATAGTTCCAAGATTGCAAACTGTAGCCTGTGTAGAGTTGTTGACATTGGGGACCTTAAGCAAACCACGACGGTGACGGCAACGCGGGAGTGGCAAAAAAAAAAATAAATAAATAAATAAAAGATCTAATGGGCAGAACAATAGCTCAGCACGTGAGTTTTAAAACTTTGTAATGGCATTTCATAGCCGTCCTCTGCCAAACAACAGCGTGGAATCGCCAAAATTTACGTTCTTGAGAATAGAAACACCGACAGAAAATTGCAGAAAATTGATAACAATTTAAATTAAAATTTGAAATTTAACCCGCTCACATGCGTGATGTTGAAGTTGAAGTGGGACGCTAAGAGACAGTAAACACGTTCAGCTTTTCGCGAAATTCTTACTATTTAAATTCATTTTTAATCGACGTTTTCTTCGCCGTTGTCGTCTTGATTGCTTAAGGTCCCTAATATTGAAACTGTGTGACGCCTGTTGTTAAGTTAAGTCGATACGTCCTTTTGTCGCTGCATTTGCCAAATGCATTCATGTCAATAGTCCTGCAATTAATTCAAAAGATAGTAAATTAAGCTGTGTAACTTGATCTAAATATGCGCCTTTAATGGAGAAGTTTTCCCCCAGATCGTTATTCTGATAGCATAAGGTAACGTGCGCTCCTTGGTAAATATCAGAGAGTTTAAGAAAACCACGACGGCAACGGGAACGGGAACGTCACTAAACAAAAGGTTTAATGAACAGAACAGTTGCTATGCACGTGCGTTATAAATTTCTTTGAGTCCTCTGCACAACAACAAAGTGAAACGACCAAACTTTGCGTTGTCTGGAGAACGTGAACGAGGACGGCTAGGTTTTTAAATTTCTATTTCCAATTTAAGACTGTGTTCCATATTCAGTTTAAAGATAGTTTTGACAATGAGAAACAAACCTAATGACTTAAGAGTATCGTGAGATTCGTAGGTGAACTATAAGTCCATTTTTTAACCGACGTTGTCCACGGTGTCGCTGTCTTCGTTTCTTAAACTCCCAGAACAAAAGGTTACAGAGGATAGTAAAGGGGAATTTAAACAAATCTTGGCAGAGAATTCTTGAATTGCTAATTGAATCTTCGCTTTTGAAACTTCCGGGAGAAAGTTGTGCATTGTTCGTTCAATCAAAGTGCACGTTGAGTGGATAGAAAGGTTTCCATCAAAATACGACGCAAACGTTTTTGAAGCATGTAAGAAGCGTCTAATGAAGGAAATTATAGCGAGAAGTGAGCCACATGAAAATGACTCGAAATGGGAAGCCAACTACGGAGATTTTGTAGGTTTGGAAAAACTAGAGAAAATTTGACAGAAATATCATCTTGTCTTTATAACCTGCAATGCTCGTCCCTTAGTCTCGATTGGGAGAAAAAGAACAGTGACTACGCCCAGAACGGAAAAAGCGCTGTAGAACCCAAGGGATAGGAGAATGGAGTGTGGCATGAGGACCTACAGACAACGAAAGAGAGCACAATTAGAAATAGCCCATTTTACAGTTGTGTACTTAATTGCCAAGCCTTTGATTTGGAGTGAGGCTGAAGGTGACCTTGTTGTGATAGAGATCAGTATCTCTTAGCATGATAACAAAGTAATTTACATTTGAAAAACAGCAATGTCTGAATCATAACAAGGTCACCCTTAGCCTCACTCCTGTTCAAAGGCTTGGCAACCAACCACGCAGCTAAAATGGATTATTGCTATCAAATTGTGTGATAGAAGCAAGCAATAAAAGACCCGTTCTTTAGAAATAGTGCTCGGTTAGTTTTAAGCGAAGTTTTGCCTCGGCCCAGAGACTCATCAGAAACGTTTCTGAATTTTTTTTCCCGAGTAGTTTAAATAAAAAATTCGTCCGTTTTTAACGGTATGTCTTTCTACCGCCAGAGACTTCGAAATACTCAACCAAATACACCTAAGTTACATTTAGACTATAGCGAAATTGTAAAATAATTGTAAAAAGTAAGTTCAGAAAGATCTTAGAAGATACTCTTCGCCGAGACGAAGCTTCGCGTCCTATTGGCCTCGAGCTATTTTCAAGCATTAAAGCTTCGTATAAGTAGAGATTTTTTAAAAATTTTGAGAATAAAAATCTGCGATAAAATTTTAGAAAACATTACACGACGTTTCGACGTTTCCAGAAGGTCATTATCAAGTGAGAATGAACTAATAAAACTAAGATATATATAGATGAGAAAATGAATAAATCTCAATGACTCTTGATTTATTCATTTTCTCATCTATATATATATTAGTTTTCTTACTTCATTCTTACATGAATGACGTTCTGGAAACGTCGAAACGTCGTGTAATGTTTTCTAATATTTTATCGCGGATTTTTATTGTAAAGCATTCGTCTTAGTTTAACTAATACGATCAATGTTTCATTTAACTTTTTAACCCTTTGACCTCTTAAAGTGATTGGCTTCAAACTTCTCCTTACAATATCATCCCTAAATCAAATTTAAAGGTGAGGAGAATAAAGGAAATGATCACCAATTTATGAAGCTCAGTTTGTCCAACAAATTCTCCTCGTCAGTACAATAGCAAACATGAATGTGTTGAAAACTGTTGTGAAGTTGTAAAAGATTACTAAGAGCATACCTCACCACATGAAATTCAAACAAAACTTGATAGCTGTTGCAAAATAGAACATTATATTTTCTTTCATCGTCAAGGACTAGCATAAAGATGGCGTTTTCCTGAAAAACCAAGGTCTTTCACAGTTTAAACAAAGGAAAATCATTTACCCGAAACTCTTCGGAAACATTTTTTTCAACAGCTTATTAATAATCGCACCTGTAAGCTTTTCAAGAATACAGTATTTCACGTTTTTCTTTCCTGAGTATCGGTCTCTCTTTTAGGTCATTTTACTTACCATAGCAACAAATGGAGTTATCATACAGCCGATCCTCGCCGCACCTGAGCATGCGCCCAACCCGATGCCGCGCATACTCGTGGGATACACCTCCGGTGTGTATACATAACCGCACATGTCAGCAATGCTGATAAACATACGGGAGGCATACAAAAACAGCGTGGTCGATGACCGACTGCCAATGAAAACAATGACATCAGTTATTTTCTTACTCTTTCGAGGAAAAATTTTATTTCAGGAACATTGGTTTATGAAGTAAACGAGTCCCTAAGAGCACTTCAATTG